GGGATCCGTGACAAATCCGTGACAAAAAATCATTTGTCACGGATTTTTTGAACTACCGTCCGTGACAAAATCCGTGACAAACGGCGTGTTTTTTTGTAGTGCTAGAGGGGGAAGCTCGGGGTAAACATTGACTGAAACTTCTTCAATGGAGTTTCGAACTCGAGACCTCCCATGTAGGAGAGTGGGTCAGCGACTACTTGAGCTGGATCGCTTTCTTTATAATTAACAACTTTAAGCATACTTTTCCACGATAACTCTATTGGCATCAAGATCATGAGCTAACAATAAACCATGTCGTAAAGCTCAAGGCTCTGATTCAAAACTTCCCCCTTCCTTGGCCACACCCATTACAATTAGGCAAACTAGATGGAATAATAATATGAATGGTAGTATGGTATTATAAGGATGCTTTTAATTGGATTGGTTTCGGTCATATATCAGCCTACATCAGATTTAGACAAATTAGACTAGGTCAAACTTAAATAAATCAAGACCAAACCAGACTTTGACAATTCTAAAAAAAAACTGACAGAAAAAATCAGATCATATCAGGCTTAAAATATTTATAATTTACAAAAAAATGTCGGTATTTTAAGCTTATTTGGTCCCCGTAGTGTACTATTTCTAAACCCCGGCCTCCCGAACACTACATTTCTGGTTCCGCCACCGAAAAGACATACTCCCTATATATTATAAGAGTTAGATGGCTAGGAAAAAGACCATACAAATGCGCAAGAACCCAACTCAATCCAGCTTGTAACAGAGATCCAAAAAGAGCTTAAATTCCTCTACTAGTTTTTGAATCTGTAATCTTGCTAATTTTTTAAAATACTGACATGTAACAAAGACCCAAACAGTTGGTTTCTTCAGATCTCAAATGATGTAGAGGTGGGACATGGATGATTAAGGAAAAGGGGTAAGAAAGTACACTCAATAAAACTCAAAAGCAAAGTAAAATAAAATGAAATTAAATATAAGTTATGGGTACAAAATATCATTTTCTTGATAACAAACATATACTTGGAATAAGATGTACGAAGTACGGAGTATGATTTATCTCATCCGGAACTAATACACATTGGATCCTCATATAATAAGCTATTAGAACATACTCCCTCCGTCCCTGAATTATCTTCAAACTTTCCTTTTTCGTCCGTCCCAAAATTATCTCCTCCTTCCCTTTTTGGCAAAGAATTTGTGGTTCACAATCATTCTTACACATTCTTACACATTTCTCTCTCCTCTGCATAACTCTTCACCACACAAAACCCACTATCTTAATTACTGTGCCCAGCCGAAATGGGAGAAAAAACAGGGACGGAGGGAGTAATAATGTAAGGGCATAGTGGTGCAAAATTAGTAAGTAGTGGTTTTTTAATTAAGTGGAGTAGGATACTAGGATCTAGCCTTAATACTACACCTTTAAACATGAAAACGCCTCTATTACGATGAAGCTAACCATAGACTCCTACTCCAAGCCAAAACATGATAAAAAGATGTACTTTTACTTTCATTCATTTAGACAAAGGATAAGATATTGGTTTATTAGTTCAAACTGATTTGGTTTATTAGTTCAAACTGATTTGGTTTATTGGTTATGTTTGGCCATTGGCATAATAATATCATGATGTAAGACAGAGTACTTTTTTTTAAGCGAACATGTATGTTTAGTAGTTTTGCTCTCTGCAAATCCTGTTTTTTTTCCTTGAGCGGTGTTTAATTAAATTATCATTTTTTCCTCATACACTACGGAGTACTTAATTCTTTGTATATGAAAAATTATCATACTTCTTAAAGCTATTTATATTTCTAATTTTTATCATATAGTTGCAAAAGTAAAATTGGAATACCTTTTTTTTCAATTTTAAGATACATGCTTCCAAAAATATTGTAAACGAATGAGAATCATTAACCATTGTTTCTGTAGATTAAAAAAGTGTCATACACGTGCGGGCGTGCAGCGATCAAAAAAAAAAATAAACAGATCCATCTAACGGTGGGCATAAAACCCGAACAGAACCGGTACCGAACCGTCCCGTAATGGTACCGAACCGACTATCGGGTATTTAAACGGTTCTATAGATTTTTATCTTGTAACGAATCCGTACCATTTGAAACGGGTACGGGACGGGTCCTAGATTTTGAGAACCGAAAAATACCGGACCGAACTGTTCGTAAATAATGCATTTGAATTTTTTATATTTTTTCTATATCAATAGATCTAGACCAACAATTTTATACCCCAAGTATGTATTCATGTGTCCCTAAGATATCTAAAATGTGTTGTTTATATATATATATATATATATATATATATATATATATATATATATATATATATATATATATATATATATATATATATATATATATATATATATTGTTAGTTTTTCTTTTTAGATAATTTATGTTATATTTTGGTATGTATTGAAAGAATATTAAAATTTTAGAAATCATTAATGATTATTTATTTCTAGTAATGTAGTGTACATGACTTTTTGTTGTATCATGTTTTTGCATTTTTTACAACTTAATTAATATGATTTAAATCTTAGCTCTCAAGTTTCAACTATAACTTAAATTAGAACTGCGGAATAATATTTAACCTAGAACAAAGAAGAAGAACGTCGAAGATTTCTATTATATTTAACAATGTGATGATATTCATTTTTATAATTTCACATAAACTTAGTAAATTAAAAATGATATTTATCTCGTGCGTCATCGTTTTGCTATACTCTTTATTAGTTGTGTTGCACTATTTGTGAATTTTAATACTAGTTATGCAATTCCTTGTATTTATTTCAACATTTCATTTGAGTTGGTTGATGTGATGATATCTTCTAATTGCAAGATTTGTTCAAAAATTTTAGCATGTGTTTGGCATTGTACCGTACCATTTTGTACCGTTCCGAAACGACATGGGACCGAATGGTTCTATCCTTGGAACCGGACCGTTAAAAATCTCACGGATACATTATGGGTTTTACCAATTTACCGGACCGTTCCGGACCGCGCCCACCCCTGATCTAACATGCCCATTAGAGTGTGGGGCTTTCAAATACTACATGCTTGAACTATTAAAATCACAGGGATTTGCCGCATTTTTTCAATTCATAACGACAGATGGACGTGCAAAATTTATACTACAAAAACTTTTGACTTCACATTTATTCGAGAAGAGATCAAATAAAAAGAGGTTCTCCCGTGCAAAGTGCGAATAATTGCACTTTTTCTTCACCGCGTTGCACTTTTGCGTGTTTTTGTTGCACTTTTTCACGATGGCAAAAAAATTCGTTTTAATTACGAAATTGCCACCGCGTTTTTGATCAAATTTAGTTCACTTTTGGCTCATTTTGAGCCATTAGATCTCAAAATGAACGCACGAGATTAATTCTCACTTTGCATGGCAAGACCTCTTTGTATTTGAACCCTCCCCTATTTATTCAATCAAATGCATGGCTAGGAGAAACTTATCATATTGTAGTATATCAAAGTAGAGTGGATAAATCAATTGCATTTGAGTTGAAATAACCAAAATCCAGATTATTTTCCCTCTTTCATAAATTGCCACTTGAAGAGCATTTCATTTCTAATCAATAGACACATCCTCCAACGTGTATGATCCATAGAATCAATACTGGATGAAGTCCTCTTCCTCAACATGGGAGGTTGCCCGATGCCCAAATTGCCACTTCAAGAGCATTTCGTTTCTGGCATTGGTTCTCTCAAATTATCTCTTCTAATCCTAATTAAAGCTTCAATCCTTTGTGTTTACTAAAAATACATCTTCGAAAGTCGAAACACATCAAAGCCATGGAAGCAAAAGGTGTTTTATGGGTGTTCTTTAACTATTCTGTGCTTGTGTGTATATGTAGACGACTAGACGCACCAAATTAAAGAAACATATCCCAATGTGCATGCTCATTCTCAGACAATAACTTATCCACAAACTTCATATGGGGCTAATAGGTTTCTTTCCCATCTCGTGGAAAACCCTTTTCTCTCCGCTTAGACAGTTAGACTTATTCCCCTTTAGAGGTTTTTAGTTATTGATACTATAGGAACTGATCCTATTTGGTCAAATACCTAGTAACAAACTCCTATTTGCCTTTCGACATTTCTTGTACAAATCTTCTACTACTTTGGAATTTCACTGCTTAATGCACATATTCCTAGTGAATCCTAGGCAGCATAGAGCATGAAAACGAAAATATGAAATTGAAATGAGTTCTAGACTTCATAAACATTTACATAGTACATACAAATCATGGCCCGTATAAGGAAAGTGGAGAAAACAAGCACATCAACAGTGTAAAATAAAAAAGAAAATTGGAGTAGGTTTTAACTCGGTGGATTGTTGGTTCAAAGGAGCCGAGCCCCTAGGGGAATGTAATCTTCCTTCCGAATTGTTTAACCCAATGAGACTTGAGAGACTGGAGAGTGGAGACCGAGATGCAGTGAAAAGTCAATTCACAGAGCTAGAACGCCACAGGCCATGTATAGGTATGGACTCGGGCCGGGTGGCCCGACCCGGAACCGGCCCGGGACCGGTACTGTTCCAGCCCGGCCCGACCCGGTGGCCCGGTCAGTGACCGGTCCGGGTAGGCCCGGCCCGTGGGTTTTCCGGTCCGGGCTCGGGTCACCCAAAACAAGGCCCGACCCGGCCGGGCCCGGGCCCAGTTCGGGCCAAAAACAATTTTTTTTTTTTTTGCAATTTTTTTTAAAGTTTTGGGTTGGGCTGGGTATTTTGGGCCATTTGGGGTGGGTTGGGGGTTGGGGGTTACTTAGGAAGAGGAAAACAAAAAAAAAAAATATAATGGGCCCGGCCCGGCCCGGACCCGGTGGTTACCCGGGCCGGTCCCGGGTCCACCATTTCTGACCCGCCGGCCCGCCCGGGCCTAGGCCCGACCCGGACCCGGCCCGGACCCGGCCCGGACCCGAGTCCAACCCTAGCCATGTAGTAATAATAGTTATAATAATAATAATAACTATTAGAATTATTAATAACAAAGACTCAATAAGTCCAATAATAACAATGATAATAACAACAAAACATTGAAAAGGGAAAATTGGGTTGAACATGCTAATAAGTCCAATATTTGTTGAACATGCTGATAAGGTTCACAAAAGTAAGAGACAAGTGGGAGCAGTAGTGCACAACTGAGGGCACAAAAATTACGCTCACCACCAAAATAAGGTTGGATCCTTGATAATTGATATGCATAAACTGAAACCATGTAATGCCACAGCAGATTCAGTGACTACTGACTAACATCCATTCAAACAACTAAACGGTTTCCAATTACGATAAACCCCATCAAACAACCAAAATGTTTCCAATTACGATCATCTTTATCCCAGACGAGAAAAACAACCAGCTTAGTTAAGAATGTCAACGCACCAAACCAACAAAAATTCATTGAAGTACAAAGCATAGCTAGATGTAGGTAGAAGCGTTAACATTATCTAACTTCATCCAAAATGCTTCTTCAACTACCTAATAATGACTAGTACTCTGCAGGAGTGATGACGTCATCAATCTTTAGAATCATCTTAACAACTTGAGTTGCAAGCATAACCTGTTGTTGCTTCCCAATCAAAGTCTCGAACACATTTTGAGCACGCATGTCAGTTGTGCCTACATCATTACAATCAATCCCGCAGCAAGGATTGTTTTCCTGCATATGTGCAGATCATAGTTTCAAAAAATCAGTACCTGGAGAAAGCCCTTGGCGATTGAGAAATCAAAATAGTGGCAAGGGTGCAATTTTAGTTTTGGCCTGGACCCTTGGAAATGATATGGAATGAGAAAATAATGCAAAAATAGCAGCATTTAATGTTTTGTTTTAACTATGAAATCAACTATTATAAATAATATTAACTAATTTTACATTTATCGTGATTTTTAATCCTAACAATTGAAATGAATAAAAAATAGTTTTGAACAAACAAGTCAAATGAATTTATTTAGTTTGGATTTTTTTAAATTTTATCTCCTTAAAAAATGCCTCTGCTATTTACTTTTCCAAGAATTTCTGGAGTTCCAAATGGACTACTAATTATTAGTTTATTACTGATTCCTTTGCCATGTTTTTGTCAAACTAACCTGGATTTGTTGTGCTTTAACCGCAGATAGTGTTTCAATGGGTTGAAGACCGCTATTCTCAGCAAGGGCCATGGGGACAGCATTTAAAGCACTTGCAAATCCCCTGATTGCGTACTGCAAAAGAAGATTCATGAGGATTTATCTAGAAGTAATTACTAACTTATGAAAGTTGAAGCAATAGAAAAAATAAACAAAGTAGAATTCTTACCTGCTCAACTCCTGGGTATTTATCAGCAGCTGCTCCCACAGCAATTGATGTAGAGATCTCAGCTGAGCCGCCGCCATATACTATTGAGTTGTTACGAATAAGATTTCTGGCAACACACAAAGCGTCATGAACGCTGCGCTTTGTCTCCTCTATTATCATTTTGTTACCTGATTAAACACAAAAAAGGTGTTTTAGCTCAAAGAGTAACCTGATTGTGGAGTTACCCCACAGACCATAGCTGAATGTGTTGTTGGTGTTCCTAAGGGGAGCATGAAGCTACTATGGTCAAAAGATAGCAAGTGTCACAGTATCACTAAGCTGTGTTTGTAAAATTAAGAGAACATATATGAACCGCATAGTGTAAACACATCGTTGGGAGACATGGGTCAACTTCAAATCCTAATCAAAACTTCTCCAAAAGTTCGTTTATATTTAAAGTCATACATCCAAATACTAATGCGCTAATGCTTTAATTCATAAAGAACATTGGCAGGAGAAGAATGTGTTGTAAAAAGGTCTAACCCAGTATTGTTAGAGAAGAAATTGCAAAATGTAAAACAGCATACCACCACGAATGAAAATAGTCACAGCTCGTGAATTTGCACAGTGTTCAATATAAATCATTCTATCCTTTGTTGTACCAAAAGCTCTCTCTCGGACCAGTCCAGCCTGTATTCATCAAATAAGAGCAAAAGTTCTGTTACATAAGATCCAAATATTGAATTATCTCACGTTTTTACTTTTGATTCAGAAATTTGATCCTTTAAAAATGGAGGTAATCTCAATCACATGTATTTTAGTCACTTAACTCACTTAAAAGAACATCACAGGTAGACTATATAAACCATAACCAGCACGGCACAGTAAAACAGAGAAATAGCACTACCTTGCCAAGTTTATCTGGGGTCAACTCTTGAAATCTTGGTACAATTCGCCCACCTAGGCCGAATAGCATTAACAAAAAACCATGAGAAACCATAGTAAATAATAATGCACCAAGAGAAACAATCGCTAATTATGTCCAAACCTGTGGCTATTGCGATCAACTCCAGCTCCACACCACCAACCCATCTAACAGCAGGTAAGTTTCTGTGCATTAGCAGGTGGTTTGCTTCATCATCGAATCCCCATTGGCAAATAACCAAGGTGGCACCAACATCCTGTGAGCGAGGGATAGCAAGGTCAAAAGGGAACCAAGATCTCGTGAAAACCAAATCAACTATAACCGCGATGAGGGTGAAGAAGGGTACTTTAGGATATAAAAGAATGTACAGAAATCCAAACCAATAATCAAGAAAAGTGTACCAGTCTTATTTAAGGGGGGTACACGGTTTTAAGATTCACATATTGCTTTGTATCTATATATTTTATATATCTACTACAAGAACTGTAAAAACAATATTAAGGTCAGAAAGGAGAGGGATGGATCCCATTGACCTTCCTATTAATCACTTCCGCACGGAGTCAATAAAGCAGAATATACAACATGCAGAATGACATTTATTAATTACAAGAAAGTCTGAGAGAAGGAGGAATAAATGGCAACTTTGAAAAAGCATTTGAAACTTCATCTTTCAGCATCCGCCAATCCACTCAAATCTCTTTTTTTAAAAACCAAAAAAAGGTATTGTACTTCTTTCAAAACCATTCATCTTTCATTTTCCCTTTCTAACACTCCCTTAAAAATCAGTATGAAATCCTAAATTCCCTCACAGTTCACAATTTTATTCAACATTCCCTTATACCAAAATTAATGCATGTGCTTTTACCTTGCATTGCTGAACCATGTCATCAAAATACTTCTTTTCCTGCAGGCGTAAAGTCTGGAACTTCTCAACAGTATCAATGTCAACCTTATGTTTGGTCTTGGGTTTAGGGGGTTCGAATGGGCAAGTTAAGATGGCAATATTTGCATCCTCAATCTGCTTAGGCATTTGTGGGTGACTCATGTCTTTGTCAACAACAATGCCATATATCAGCTCTGTATCCTCAAGCTTTCCTCCGACTTTCCCCTCCACTTTGATTAGGTCCAGGTTGACATCCTTCCTCTCTAAATCTGCAACAGCCAGAACTGCTTTGACAGCAATTTCAGCCAAGCTACGCTTACATCTATTCACACTGCAATCATCAGAGTTCATAATGATAAAATGTGGTTAGGCGTAGGAATAAAAAAATCATAAACAAATCACATGCTATATGCGGACAAACAATTTAACATAATGCATTTTCCATTGAAGCGTTTTTACATTTGTATAAAAAACGAAGGCATTTTGACCACATAATATAAAAAACAAAATACCCCATATTGTGGTTGCATGCAAAAGGAAATAAGGCAAAGGCATTTGTAGATATCAATTTGAAACTACTTCCTCAGTCCGAAAATGAAAGTAGCATTGCGTACTTTGTGGTTTCACTGAGACAAAGAAAACTTCTCCTAGGCAATATTCTAATTAGAATTAGAAATTAAAATTTACATATTCATAAACTATAGTAAAGTTCTTATAAAGTAAAACTTAAATTTAAATATGTTAAAAGTCTGATGCACAAAATTAGAGATTAAATGTGAACTGCATTCACCAGTGATTAGTAAACTATTACTTTGATATTGGGACAGATGTAATATAAGTTTTCGGTTTAAAGTTGTTACTTTTTATGTAGGTTCAAGTTCAACTAAGTAAATAAATGAAAACTATACAGTAATAAAAAAAATTATCACATAGGGCAATCTCTTTGGTATTCTGAAGTTAAAAATGCACATTGTTGATTGCATAGATATGCAACACAACATGCAACAGTTTCAATGTTTCAGCCTTTCAGGCCATATATACACAGAGCAAGACAGTAAGGTTCACATGTTTGAGCCTAACTGACAACTTACATCTTTGATGACAGGGTAGTCATGCAAGTTTGTACCAAAGGCTCAATGTCATTCAGACTGAATTCAAACTTGTGTGCAATGCGCTCCAGATGTCCAACAGCAATCCTGCATGCCATTTCGTATCCTTCAGCAACTCGGATAGGATGAATTCCACGTTCTAGCAACTTTTCAGCTTGTTCTAGAAGTGCCCCAGCCAGGACAACTACTCCAGTAGTTCCGTCACCAATTTCATAATCCTGACTTCGTGACAACTCCACCATCAGCTTTGCAATTTGATTGTCCACATCCATCTGCTCCAAGATGGTTGCACCATCATTTGCTGCCATAGAAGGGAATCAAGGGATTATATTTTCAGATTTGAGAAAAATTTTAAAAGGATAAGAAAACTTGCCACATTCTCACAATGTTATCCAAATAAAAGTGGAAGCACAACAATAGCTAAACAGTTGAGAATAAACCACCAAATAAAAGTGGAAGCACAACAATAGCTAAACAGTTGAGAATAAACCACACATTTGTACAATCTACTCCTATGAGTTTTAGTTAGTATCCAAAAGTTAAGATCAGACATTGCAACTATACTCCCAAGGGAACTGGAGTACAAATGAGGTAACTACTAACTAGCAAAAATATATAAAATACAAACCATTTTACCAAATGAAGCATCAAATTTGCTTATAAAAAATAAATTGGATTTCTTTAGAGAACAATTCTAAATAGCTTTGGCATCAAAGTTAAAGCCCCCCTTTTCAAACTACTAGCTCATCTATGTAGAAAATGAAGCCATTTTTTATCAAGAATGTAGTATTTCTTGACAGCTTGACGCAACATATGATTTGCGAGGATACTTTGAAGTCGTAACTTCTATGTAACTAACAATTTACTATCCTGATAAAAGAAAGGATGCACATAGGCACTAATCACACAAAAAGCAAATGTGAATCTACATCTCTAAGTCGCGACAAGTACTAGTAAGAGCTGAACTAAGACTTCAGACCAAATAGAACACACAATATTCATCAGCGCAGTAAGATCAAATCAAAGAGAGTATGACAAACTGATGGTCACGTCTCCGTCAGGGCTCTGAAGCATCTTGTCCATGCCTTTGGGGCCGAGGGAAGTGCGGAGGATGCGAGCAACAGCCTTGCCGGCGGAAATGTTAGATTTCTGGGCATCGATGCCTCTGAGCCTCGTCTTCTGCTCCTGCTCCTTTATGATTATAAACGGCCTGCCATACTCATCGAACGCCAACGCCATTTATATTCGCTTTCAATCGTATTCGCGACTTCTCTTCTCAGTCTCTCAGCGCGGTCGACTGAGATGGAAGAATAGAGTTTGAAGTCAGTAGAGATGGGCACTCTAGAGAAGAGATTGGTTTTGCCCTAGCAAACTAAACCCACGCCTCCTTCCAAAACCAAAAACAAGAACTATAAAATAAGCTCTCCAACTTACATAAAAAGAACTAAAATAAACTCTTTTGTAGGAAACTTTTTCCTGCCGTCGTTATTTGGGGAGGTTTCTGGTAGAATTTTTTGATGAAATTTTTTGAACATATTATTCATTAAGTCTAGTTTACTCATACCAAATTTCAGCTAAATATTCAATCGAGAAGGCATTCAAATGAATTTTTGAAGATAACTGTCCAGTTAAACAGCACAATATCTTTCAGATTTTCAGAATATCATTTGACTGTCTTTCTCGGTTGAAGTTTTAGCTGAAATTTCGTGTTGGTAAACTAGACTTAATGAGCAAGATGCTCAAAACATTTCATCAAAAAATTCCACCGGAAGCCTTCCCAAATGACGATGATCGGACAGAGCATCCAATAAAATGACTTGTTTTTCACTTTTTATGTAAATTCGAGAGCTTATTTGATAGTTCTTCCAACAGGTTATTAAAGAAATATGACTAGAATGGTACGATATTTGTTAAGACTACCATTCTTAAAACAAAAATATTGAAATTGAAAGTGATACATCAAATATTTTATAAAGACAATTATGTATTACACCCGTGTGTTGATGATCGAAATAAATAATCTTGTAATGATTAAAACAAAATTATTGAAATCCAAAGTGACACATCAAATATTTTATAAAGACAATTATGTATTTCACTCATGTGTTGCATGCACGGCCGAAATATTTAATCGATGTATTATAAATTGAAGAGTAATAGGTAAATGTAAAAATGGAACATAGGAAATTTGAAATCCAAATATTTTGCATTAAAAATCTCTTTAATCCTAATAAAAAAGTGATCTTAAATAAACACAACTATCTAGTGGATCTTCAATATCCATATATTCTACATTGGAAATGCATAATAAGCATGTTTTCGATGTCAATACATTTATCATATACGGGGTAAATACTCTTGACTCTATTTAAGAAAAAATAAATGAACAAATTGTAAGTAAATATATCGACATATTTCAATCAAAAAACATTGAATTTAAAATTTAAATGATCAAATATGTGAAAATTAACTCAGTTAAAGGTTGATGTTAACTTAGTAAATACATTGACATTCAATCTTCAAGGCCTGGAGAGGCAATTATTGTTATTGGGGAATTGGGGTTGGGAGATTTAAAATAATGATTATCTCTGATTCATTGATCATTAAGAGCGTCTTCAAAACCACAATGTACACGGTGCACGTCATGGGACATGAGAGAGATAGACACACAAACATTAGTAAACAAAATAGTTGTCTTCTTATTTGAACGGTGTTATATATTTTTGGTAAAAAAAATCACAATGTCAAAAAAATGTCTAGATGTAGAAATTGTGGTTGTCATTGTTACCAAAATTTATATAAAACCTTGAAAAGAATGTGAGAAATGCTGATGATAATTTTTTATGTTTCTATATATTTTTGTAATGTCACATGTGCACCGTGCAAATTGTTGCATTGGAGATGATCTAAGATGTTCACCGACCAAATTTTTTGTATTTGATAGAGAGAACATTAAGGATGATGAATACCTTTCCTATAAAAAAAACAATGTTACCTAAAATATGATAATTTTTCTTTGCCGCATAGAGCTTTTTTATAGTGTTATCCGATCATAAAGAGCCTACATGTTATAATGATGATGTGAAAGATCCTCGTCCTTTGCATAAATTTCTCATTCGATGTAAGTGGGTTTTCAAAATTAAATATACAAGCACTAGTTCAGTTGAATGATGTAAAACCTGTTTAGTCATTCGTGGCAACCAACAGGTAGAAGGGATTGATTACAATGAAACATTTACCTTAGTTTCCAAAATGACCACAATTCGCACCATTTTGATGGACCGAGTGAATAAGTAAATACTACTTCCGTCCCGGTGGACTTTGCCGAGTACAAAGTAGGTGAGAAATAAGAATAGTAAAAACTGTGTGGTTGAGATTTGTGCAGAGGAAGAGAAATGTGCAGAACCACAAATTAATTGCTTTAATATGAAAGTGACAAAGTTTTTTGGGACAACAAAAAAAGCAAAGTTAGCAAAGTCAAATGGGACGGAGGGAGTAAGTTTTTGATGGGAAACTTCTAGAATGAAGAGTAAATAAGTTTTGGAAATTTATAATAGGATTTTGACATCAGAAATATCTTGTGTGAAATTTGTACAGATTTTGACACATAATCATTAAAATTAATCCAAACGGATCCGGAACCGTCAAAGGTTAAAGAAATGTGAATGTTATAGATTTTGGCACATATCACTAAAAAATAATCCAAACATATTCGAAAAATTCAACGATTAAAGAAATGTGAATGGTACGATGAGAAATCCTTTAAAAAATCCAAACAAATCAGAAAAATTCAAAAATTATGAATTACTAGATGCTCCCCTCATTTCTTTCGTCTTGTCACCGGAAAGCTCACCGGAAAAGTGATATTAACGATTTTTTTTAAAAAAAATAATTTAAACAGATCCGAAAAAATCAAAGGCGAAGATGGTTCGGAGATCTCGTTGATGAGGCGCATCTTCCGGTATTTTTCTTTTAACTTTTCGGACACTTTTGAAAATCAAAGTTATTGTTCGTCATTTTACTCTGGCAATTTCTAACGACAACAGGCGCCGGTCTCCTCATATAATAACGGAGTTTAAACACATGACATACTTTGTTAAAATGGGTCCAACCACAGACACATTTTTCATACTTTTTTCCTAGAAAACTTTAATATATTTGCATTATATATAAATATATTTTGAGCTGATGACAATGAAAAGTCATTTTGGCAAGACTGTTAAACTATACTCTGTATTAAAATAAATTGTAATGTGTTATGAAATCATTACATAAATGGGTGGTGTTTACATAATTGGGTGATGTGTTATGTTTACATAATAAGATACACACTATAAGTTATTGATTTCCATGTTTGTTAGAATTTTTCATTCAGAGTGAATATTTCTCGGTGGTTATGATCTTGTATGATCTAAGTAAATATGCTCTCTTGTGGTCTGATTTTGTTAAAGCCTGATGGGGTATGATTTGCTCAAGTTTACCACAGTATAATATACTATGTATTATGTCTATTTTATTATAGTTTAAAAGTTTTATTTTTCTAAAGTGAAACATTAATGGATCAAAAGTATGAATGTTCATTAATGGATAATGATTTTTAAAAGTTTTTATTTTCTGAAGTGAAACTTTAATGTACCAAAAGTATGAATGTTTATCATAATTAATCATTAATCTTGTGAAAAAGCCACAAATTTGAACAACTGGGTATTTTTTTAAATCAAATAACTAATTTATTCATTAAATAGTAGCAAAGATACAAGCAATGAATAGTCTAAGGCTACAATGTGATGAGACATAGAACGGAAAAGATTCAAAGAATCCTTCTAGAGAGAAAATATAAAATTAAAACTAAAAGATCCGACTTCACCAGCCACCAGAAAGGGAGAATTTGTTTGACTAGCAACCAACAAAGAAAACTCAATTGAGCAAAAAATGTCTGAATCATCGGTTTGACCAGTCACCAACAAAAAGATCTAGTTGAGCGATATCTTTTTCTTAAAGTGAGGCGGAGGTTCGGGGGGGGAGTTGAAGCTTCACAAGAACTAGTTAGGTTGAACCTCTCTCGCCAACCATGAATAATGAACCACTCGATCAGTTACACCGAAGAGAAAGATACAACCTCTAGACATTGATAGGAGAAGAACAAACTCATGCTCGCTTGAAATGGACATAACTCTCGGTCATAGAAGAAGTCAGACCAAAACCCTAAAAGTTATAAATAAAATAAAAAAACAAAAAAACATAAAAAAATCATTATTTCATTACTGTCTAAAGAACGTCACCATCATTGAAATATGTTGCCAATCATTGAGATCCAAAGAAAATCTTTATTTCGTTACTGCCAAAGATTATAACTTCTAGAAAATTGTTGATGAAAAAGAGATAACTTAGAACAATTACCTAAATAAAGCTTTTATTTTATTATTCGTTTATAATATTTATATAGAAATCTAGGTCTTTAATTAAATGGTAGTTTTATCAACTCATGTCTTTTTACTCATATGTTATTACACAAAATATTTAAGTCCTATTTTTACACTTTTGTAATGACTTAATACTAGTTTAGAATTTTCTCTTAAGTTTTTAGGTTTTGGATGGTTGCCTACTTCTATAAGAGAGCAACATGTAGGCATGCACAAGAAGAAAATCCAAACTTTTTTGTTTTTATTTCATGATGTTTAAACAAATCAGTTTTACATACAATTAAACAATATACATCCACAACTTATGAGTTAGAACAAAAAAAGTACAAATTAAATGATGTATTGTAAGGTTTAATTCATGGTGTTGAGATGATCCAATCAATATTTTTTTCTAAATCACAAGAAAAATGACCCCATGACACCAGTTGTGACAACGGCGACAGCAATGGTGGAGGCTCCGGCAATGTTGGCGGCGTTGTTGGGCGACCCAGTTGGGGAGAAGCTGTCATAAACTGAAGAAGGAATGGGCCCACCGACGGGTGCAGCGTCAGTGGTAGCGCCACCATCGAGGGTGCCAATGACACTATTGTCAGTAGGAGAATCAGCGGCGGAGTCAGGGGCCTGAGCCGCAGCCATGCCGATGACGGTGAAGAAGACAAGAGCAAGAACAACCAACTTGCGTGCCATTCTCAAGTTTTTTTCTACAGTGTGGAGATGTTGTTCAATCTCTAAAATGCAGCAATTCTCTTGATATTGCTTAGAGAAAGACTGCAATGAAGAAGGTTGGAGGATGGGAGGTTTATATAGATGCATGGTGGAAGTTACGTTGACATTGTGTATGGCTACAAATGCATGTCTTTTAATTGGGTTCGTGGCTTAGCTAAGTTCAAGGACAAACAATCGTTTGACCTTCCGAAAATTATTCTCTGAAACTATATGCCCATTTGCGCTTTTATTTATCAAACTAGTTTCACAACGCGCGTTGCGTGAGGGGGAAATGCCCAATAACATATTAGTGGATAATGAGTATGCAAACAAGGGCAAATGTTTTTTGAATTGAATGAGGGCACATGCCCCCAATAAAATTGAAATTTGTAGCGGTTACAAATTTATATTTTGGAAATGAATATGTCGTGTGTGCCGATTTGGAAAAAGCAGTGCCCCCAATCCCCATCGATTTTTCTATTAATGCTTGTCCTTTTGATTCAAATTATACAGTACTTTAATTATTCTAAACTCGTATAAATATCAAACACACAAAACTGTTTCTCTATTTCCAGTAGTTGGACTTGGTAATTTAATCAGTATACTATCTAATTATAGAGGAAAGATCTAATAATCTATACTTCTATGGCATATTTATAATTGTTGTAAACTGGTATTATTATAAATATGAGGTTAAGGCTCCCCTAAGGGCATGTCGTTTATTCCACAAAATATTACTTTGCATATGGTATCAAACTGCTAGGGTTTCTAGCCTCATGGACGACACTTCTACGTCTTCAATGGTGCGCACGTCCGCAGGACCACAACAATTGACGACCTCCTCTGCACAACCTTCCGAAACAATAGCGTCGGAAACCTCCTCCGTGCAGCTCTTTGTATCTGGCGATGACATGCAGTCTTCCACCGTGACATTATTTCTGCACAAACAAATCAAAACACGAATAAGGTACACAATTTATTACATAGTGAAGAAAATGAATATTTTAACAAAACAATATATCGATAACTAACATATCGCATTACTTATTTTAATGTAGATATTTGATCCTTATGATAAATATATACAAGGTGATCTAGATATTGTCAGAGGGAATGTGGTGTAAAGCTTTTACAGTTTGTGAACTTGACGATGATGTGACAGATTCAAGAAAGGGAACTACATCGAGGGGATCATTGAAGAGTTGAGCTTCGTTCAATTCTTCTTGATTATGTAGTATAACTAAGATGCTACTAGATTAGAACAAATTTTGAATTGGTGCAATATATTTTGTAATGTTGAATTAGGGCACCTTTTGGATTCGTGAACTAGTTTTTTTAATCTTTGATATATTGTTATTGAAGACACTGTTAATGTTAAACGGGTTTTTTCTGTGGTCTCTATACGTTTTTATGGAATTGGAAAGTTTGATATGTTGGCAGTTTTGATAATTTAAAACTGACTTCTATTCTTCAAAATAAAGAGTCATACACAGAACTAATCCATATTGATTATCCTTAAAACCGACTTCTAATGTTCAATGACCGGAATATAATGTCGGGTTTAAAGCAAAACCAACGTGGAAAGTGACTTCTCATGACGGTTCTAAAACTAACGTAATATGTGGGGAGCTATAAAGACCAAACTTTTAACGTCACTTGCAAAACCGACATTGCATGGGTCAAATAACCGACGTGATATGCCATATTTGTAGTAGTGACTCTGCGGTCTTGATAAAAATCATATAAAATTTAATACTTGTTATTACATGAGTATTTATATTATTAATATTACACTTATGCATGTTAGAATTTTGATGTATATTACTATATAGTATCACATCATTTGTGCCTCCAATAATAAACTTTTTTGTATCCACCCATATATGTAAATCTATGTTGTTACTCTTTCAACTATCAATCATTGTTATCACTCGTCGTCCTTATGCTGGGAAATGTAAAATCTTCTATGTTTGAGGCACAATAGAGGCTAATTTTCTTTCAAGAACCGAACGATCTCACCTCAACGTCGTATGAAAAATCACTTTTTAATTTCTTTTAAGTTTATCTTGTGTATCAATATTGGTGTACAATCTTCTTGTTCAATTTTATTTATCATAATATGATAAAAGTCAAAATTTAATTTGCAAACCCTGCATAGCGAGATCATCCCGATACCCACCTTCCGACCCGGTACTAGTCCATGACCGGTTAGTCAGTTTGTCTAGTCTGATTCTGGAATCGGATCTATGTTTACTTGTGACAAGTGAGAGACAAAAGAAAAAGTCTACGGAAAATTTAAGTAAGGAGAAAAGACAATTGCAAACAACCATTGTACTAAAAATGAGTTAAAAACCATTGCCGAGAATTATTGATTCTATAAATGGGGTTTTCCCCTTAATATAACTAAATTAAAGCTAATTTCTAAAAAAGTGATCATATTTATATTTAGACAAAAATGTGACTACTGCACAGTGACACTTCCGCACCTAATCTCAACAGTGACATATCCACCATCATCTGTCACTGTGACACATATGTAGTGACATCTTCGTCTCCATCATCCGTGTCTCCGCTGCCACTGTTGTCGCCGCTACCACTGTTGTCGCCACTGTCGGTCACAATGACACATTTGCAGTGACAACTCCGTAGCGACATCACCACATTTACACAACCTTCGGTGCACCGCCACAGTTACACAACCTCTAGTGACAACGCCACAGTTACACAACTACCAGTGACACCACCATAGTGACATGACCTCTGGCGACATCACCACAGTGACACAGCTTTCGGTCAAAGTGACATGGCCTCCAGTCAAAGTGACACCTCCACAATGGCTCCAGCCACGACCCGCCACCTTAGGTCACCACCAGCCACATGACCTCCCACGGTCCCACCTACACCCCCATCGGCGACCACCACTTCCCACCACCGCATATAACCTGCCACCGCCACTTTCGGGCGGGGAACCTCACCGGGCCCCTCTCAAGACCCCACCCCTGTCACCCCCTGCTGCCCCACACCCACACTCAGCCCACACACCGGCAACTGCCAACCGGCAATCGCCAACCGCCACCAACCATCGCCGCCCTAAACAGTGACCCCACAAGCCCCATTCTTAACCCCAACTCCCAGCCCCTGTAAAATCGCTGCACAACACACCCCAACCCTGCAACTGCTGCATTCCACCATGCCACCACCATCCGCCGCCACACTTCCTATTGTAACTCACCCCATCGCAACACTAGCCACCAATATCGGATCTAAAATCCTAATTGTGCCATCTTCGTTACAATCGAAGCAATCGTAGTGGTGAAGCTCCATATCTGAGGCGAGTGATTGTAGACTAAGAAAGGAGAAGGAGAAGAGGTAGGTCAGCGGCCACGCCGTCATCACCTCACCCTTGTGATGTGGAACTTCAGATCCTTCGTCTCCATGGTCATCGCCGTCGCCGCAGCCACGCCGTCTTCATCTCACCGTCTGGATCGAAGTCCCCGCGCCAGGTCGTGTGGCTAATGATGGAGGCCGGAGCTTGGGAGTTGAAGACTAGAGCTGTAGGGGAGGAGTTCGGAGATGGAGAATGGAAGGGTGGTAGGAGAATGGGAATCAAAAGAAAGAAGCATTGGGATGAGAGGAACACGAAGAACGAGACATGTAGATAGATCTAGTCACTTTTTTGTCCAAATATAAAAATGATCATATTTTTGTATTTCAAAAAGTTTTTGTAGTTATAGATAGAATTTACTCACTTCATAGATAGAATTACTCACTTCATCATAGGGAGTTTGTTATCTCATCCCTATCTCTCCATTCATGAGAGGCTATATATATTGTACATTGTAACACTTGATATTCATTCAATATATGAGAATTATTCTTCTCTACATGGTATCAAGAGTGTATCTCTAAAGAGATTCAACTTTTTTTCCTCTTGCTTCTTGCTTATTCGGCCATAGCCATCATAACTGTCACCACCTCCACTCACTTCCCCATCAAACTCACCACCGCAAATTACCCTGTGTGGAAATCTCAGGTCCATGCAACCCTCATTGGGTTAGGTCTTGAGTCCTATGTTGATGGCACCATCACCATACCGGATCAATTCCTTGATACAGCAAAGTCTCAAATCAATCCCTGTTATATCACTTGGTATCGACAGGACAAGACCATACTAAGTGCATTGTGTATAACGGTCCAACACACTTCTTGGACACTTGACTATGTGCATAACGTACTTTGGATGATATATGATCACTTGCTGTAGAGATTATCCTTAACTTTTGTTTATCATTATGACAAATGAAACGGTGACAAAAAATACTTGCTTTGAAATTTGAAAGAAATTTTGTTATCCGACGGGACCACTAATGATAATCATGAACTTAAAACCTTTTGACCAATACTTATTCGAATATAAGCTTTGCCTCTAAATTGCAATTACACAACCAAGTAATAATCAAGCGAGTCACATTACATAAGTTGTAACACCGACCCCGAGCACATTTACTTTTAGTAAATTATGTAATAAACCTTGAAAGATGATTTATGAATTTGCGTAATTGTAAATTTTATTATTTAATTTACGTGAATAGAAAATTGCATGTGGAGCCCACAGCGGGAACGGGGACCGCCCGATAATTCCCGAACCACATATTATATTCATCTTGGTCTAGATAATATGTATATGGTGGTGGATATTTTATTTGGGCCATAAGAAAGGCATGGAGTTGACCGGTTGGTCAAACGGGGCCCAATTGCCGGTATTGGTAATTTAGCGGATAACAGCCCGAAATGAGTTTCGGGGACTTCTAAATTAATGTTGGGGAATGTGCATCTATTCTAAAAGCCCATAATCTTTGGGAACGAGTCACATATTTTATTTGGCCCGATAAAATAAAATAGGATTAAAACAGTCCGAGAAATACAACTTTCGGGGCCGATTGTACACACCGGGACATAATGGGATGACCTCCCACATAAGTGGGGGCCACCCCACGTTTTTAATTGCTCTAGTTGACTTAATGGGAGCTGGAGGGACACCAGAACATGGGAGGGGCGTGCATGAAGGAG